CTGGTTTCTGCCAGGTTCGGTCACCGGAAACTTGTCAATAAAGCCAGTACAGAAGGTATTAATCTTTTCTCTCTAATATTATTTTTAGAAATAATATTATGGTAATGGCTAGATCTTAATTTCCTCTCATTTCTAAGTTTCGAATTTCAAATTAAAAAAAGATTCAACAGGCTTGTCGGTCGGAGTCGGTGAGACTTGCCCGGCGGGGTTTTTGATTTTTGTATTTTTCAGAAGAAACGTCATTTTCTCTACTCAAAACACACAGCAGTGGCGTCCGCTAGACGCACTGCTCAAAAGTCTAAAATATCCTTCCCCTGCACCTTTAAATTACTGAATCAAGATTGACAAAATGGTAATTTCGTTAATAATTCTTTTGGTATATGAATTCCATTTATTGTTAATTAGGCTTTCGATCGCTGGGAGTCGCGAAGCCGAAACGGCACGAGACGATGGAGAACACGTGGAAAATGATTACGGAGAAGAAGGCAATGCCGTTGTCTAGGCACCTGAAGAAATCAGAGACGTTCAAGGAAACATGGGAGAATCAAGTCAACGTGGATCCGCTGGCTGAGCCGTCGCCGGTGGTGAAGAAATCGGAAACGTTCAAGGACCGGACCAATTTCCAGCTGTCACCGGCGCAAGTAAGCTCCTCCCCGGCTTCAGTACTGAAACTGAGAAAGGAACCGTCACTGAGTAAGGACGAGTTGAATCGGCGAGTTGAGGCATTTATAAAGAAGTTTAACGAGGAGATGAGGTTGCAGAGGCAGGAATCGCTTAATCAGTACAAGGAAATGATTGATCGTGGAAGCCACTAAATTAGCAAAGGGGAAATTATTACTAATTTTTACTAGTATCATATAGAGCAGTAAAAAGTGTGTTTTTAGGGGGAAAAAAAAAAAGAAGACATATTATTATTCATTACAAAAAAGAAGGGACCGGTGGGAAAGAACAGGAAATATGTAAATTAATTTTTCTAATGTTGTTTTTCCGATGGGTTCAACGATTGAGTTACTGAACAAAAAAATGATGTCTTACAAACTTTTTCCATTTTTAACTGAGGGTAGATTTCATTAGCAGATGGGGTTTGAAATTAGTAAAATGATAGAAATGTTTGTAAAGGAAGATGACAAGTAGATGTTCTTTTGTTTCATATATCTGAATGAAATGATCTTTCTTATTATTATTTCATTGTTATATTTACTTATGGTACTTTTTTTTTTCCTATTTTGCAGTTTTAATCGCATTATACAATAAATTTTTACGATTTTAAGAGGGTCTCCTTGCATTTAGAATGCCCTTCTAAGCTATTGGTTTATATTGTGCACTCTGACTACATAAGCTTTTTTCAATTTATTTATGTTATAATACCCTTTTACTTCTGAAAAAACTTCTTATTTTTAATACATTAAATTTTGGACACAAAGTTCAGAACAATATACCTTTTTGAGGGTAAAGATAACAATATTGTGATCTTCACCACCCCTCGTTTTGATAATCGACATCTTTTCCATTATTTACCACATAAAACTTTATTAATTAATCAAAAATTATTTTACAGTTCAGTACAATCTTAAGTATAAAATAGTGACATTTAAATTGAGAGAGGACCTTAATATTACAATCTAATTTTATAATTTAATATAATTTGAATTGTAATACAAAAAACCCATTAATTAATTTTACAGTATATTGCGATTAAAACTACAGCTAAATTCATTAATTAATTAAATTAATTTTAGTATTGGGCCTGTTCAAACCTGGAAATGGAAGAAAAAGGAAAAGGAAAGGCGAGCGAAATGCAGAAAACCACATTAGCACTGTAAGAAGGGAGGATGAATTAGAAACGAAAGAGAAAAGGAAGAAGTTTGAGAGTTGAATTCGTCACTGAAAAAGGCACAGCTTCTGTTCCTTTTTGCTTGCTTCTTTAATGAAGTAGATTCATTGTTAATTGAGTCGATATGACATTTGAAATGGGTGCAATTCTTTTAATTTGATGTTAATGCTGTTTGTTTAGGGTTCGTTTAGAAGGGAAAGTATTTATAATTCATTTTAAAAAAATTTGAGGCTGTTATTCCAATGTCCAACCCCACAAATTCATTTGAAATAAATTACGTTGTTTCCTTTCTAGTTGTGGAAGCAAAGGAAAGTAAACCATGGGATTGGGTATTAACAAGTGTTATTTTAAAAATTAAATTTGTTATTTTATAAGTTAAAATTTATGTTTAAATTTTCACTCAATTCTTAAAAAAATTAATTTATTTT